AAAGAGTCAATAGTATTTGCTTCGGTGGAGGCAGAGAAAACAAGATTTAGGGATCCGCTGAATCTGGGGATGGGAGAGAGGGAAGAGAGCCCAAGGTGTTTGAAGGGCTCCAGCTTGGGCGGCTTCATGAAGGACAGAGACACCAGGTGAGACTGATAACACGCGTGGGTGGCAGCAAAGGGCACCCTCTTGGAGATGCTGACATCCAGCTGGTCATCATCCCCGTGTCGGCGAGGAGGTACAATTCATAAGTTTAAAACTTGGGAGAACGGGGGAGGTCTAGATTTGGACGTCATCTGCTTGTAGCAGGGGAGTTAAATCACAGGACTGTCTGGATCCAGTGGAGACAAAAACTGGCAGGTGAGGGCAGCATCCCAAGAACCCCAGCATTTAGGGGCTGGGGGAGGAGCAAAAGCCCAGAAAAGAGAGGTTGGAGGAGCACCTAGAAACAGAAACATCTCGAAGGCCAAGTGAACAGAGCGTTCCAAGGAGAGTCGCCAAGGCAGGGGGAAAGCCCAGAGAAAGAGGAAGGCTGGGAAAACCCCCCATCTGTCTCTGTGGAAGCCGATGGCGTGGGGAAACGGTTTGGTAGGGTGCGGGGCAGGCTCGGGCTTAGGCAATGGAAGCATCCATGCGAGGGGAGTGGACGTGAGGCCTGGGGACCCCGCCTAGGAGAAGCTTGGCTCCAAAGGGGAGCAAACCGAAGGGCCCCGCAGGTACAGGGTGACGTACACTGAGGATGAGGAAGAGCAGCAGGTGTTACAGCCTGGAAGGAGGAACAGCTGGACGGGGGTCGAGGATGTGGAGAGAGAGGGGCACCGGGGGATCTCCGTGCTGGGGGCACAGGAGGGAGAGGACCGGTCTTGTCTTCCGAGTCCAGAGGGAAGATGAGGGCTGACAGATGAATGTCCAGACATCACAGAAGGTGAGTAAAAGAGGGGTTTCGGGTGTTTCCTTAGAGTGAGGGGCTGGAGGAAAGTCAGGAGGGTTTGGAATCACCGTCCAAGAAAATGAGAGAAGGACCAGAGACAAGACAGGAAGTCAGGAGTCTGTACAGTGGGGTCAGTGCCGGGACCCTGCAAACTGTGAGTGACCAAGGCTGGGGGTTCCGTGGGGGCATGGGGCTGGGGGTCCAGAGGGAAATGGAGCTTGGGCCCTCCTTGGAGAGCTGATGTGCTGTGAAGACGAGGAGGAAGTGGAGAGCCCAGTACGCAGCAGGGGCCCAGGGTGGACGCCAGCCCCTCGACAGCCGGGATGCCACCTGGAGCCAGACGTTCGGAGACACTCCTGAGCCCAGTGTGGCTGCCACCACCCAGCCCGGAGACCCGCTCTGGAGGCCACAAAGGTAATAGTGTCTCCACCTCCAGAAGCTCTCGCATTTATCAGCAGCAGCTGCACGAGGCCTGGGCTGTAAATCATCAAGCGTTGGCTGTATTTCTCCGGAGCGGATGTCCCCTTATAAATAATACAGAGGACGCTTTTATTGTCACGGCAGCAGTCGGCTTCCCCCCTCTTGTTTTCCGAGTGACCTTTCTCAGTCCAATTGGAAACGTCCACGAGACTGGTTTATTGATCTCTGTGATGTGCCAGGCACTACGGGGATGAGTCTACAGGAGGCCCATTGTCCACACTGTACAGAGGGACACTGGGATGATCTGCAGGTGTCTAGTCAAGTTTAAAATGCCTTTGGACCCAGAGAACCAATTTGCCCATGTGCTTAAGGATGCGTGTGTGTTGGAAGCCTTACAGGTTAATAGCAAGTACCCAGGAGGCAACTGAAAGCGAAACAAGGAGACTACAGTTAATAAACCATGGCAGAGCTTTAAGATCCTTTACAGGAATCCAGGAGAATGTAACAGGCTTAGGCACACTGATAAAGATCGCTGGAGTCTGTGGTCGAGGGGAGAAGCTCAATGTAAGAATTTATGTATAGTATAATATGCACAATATAGCATCATAGCACTTGTGGTTTTCAAAAAGCCCACACATATGCTATGTGTTTAATACAAGAACATATGTGTTTATAAACATGTAGAAAAAGATATGGAAGGATACACGCCAAACTGAAGATAGTAAAATGCCTTTGGAAAGGGAGCTGAGATTAAAGTTGTTGGCCAAGAGGATTTTAACCTTCTCAGTTATATTTTAAGTTCTTGAAAGGGGGGCGTAGTCACAGAGTACTTGTGAATCTATGACTAGAAAGACCTGGAAGTCAAGGCACCTGAACCCGAGGTCAGTCCTTACTATAAATTTGGCTAAGATATTTCTTTCCCTCTGCAGACAGACCTGTTTTCTCCACCTCATAATGAGCAAATTGGACTAGATAATCCCAGTGGCTCCTTCCAACTCAGAAGTTTCAGGATCTTCACATTGTAAACATAGTCCAAGGATATGGCTCAAAAATTTCAGGGTTTAACCCTAAGGGATCTGGCACTCAGCAGGCTCTTCGTAATCTCTTTCAGATGGATGTTGAGTGTCAAGTAACAACTCTTATGCAGTTTTAATATGAATAATAAGCCAGCTCTTTGCCAGGACATTTTGCCAGGTGAGTGATCCACCTGGAAAATGTCAGAGAGCATGGCAGTGTGGCAAATGAAGCACAGGCTTTGAAGGGATTCGAACCTGGGTGCAAATCCTACCTCTCCCACTTACCTGCTGTGGGACATGGAACTAATCACCGACCCTCTGTGAGTCACATCAAGGCTGGAGCAGAAATATTAACTGTATTGGCTGAGCTGTGACCAAGCACGTTAATATTTCCATTCCAGCATTGCTGTTACATTCAGTCATTCACTCAACAAGCATTTATTGAGTACCAAGTGTGTGCCAGCCCTAGGGACACAGACATCAAGAAAACAGACAAGGCCCTCACAGCCCTTTCTTGCCTCCTGCTTCATTGCCGTCCTTGGTGCAGACACCTCCACTCTGCATGAGCTGGACACGGAGGGCTTGGAAGGGCCGAGCCCAGAGAGAGGGGGAAGAGCCCTGCAGAGGCCTGCCCGGGATGCTGAGGACCATCTCTGCCTCGTCGCTGGGCCTCAGATCCCTGCTCTGTAACATGGGGCTAACGGTGTCTGTCTCGAGTTCCGCTGGGCATCATCAACTAAATGCTGACATAACAGAGCGGCTCATTTTCTTGAGCTCTTTCAAGATGCCAGGCTCACCCAGAGAACGACTTCGGAACCATCCCCTGAACCTTGACGACAACCCTGACTTACTCATGAGGAGACACGAACAGAGAAGTTCAGTAACTTGCCGCGACCCTCACAGCTGCACAGGAGTAAATAGAGGTTTGGAATCCAGCGGCTCTGACTCCAGCCCATGTACTGAAACCACCGCCATCTCCCCCTTGAATGGGTGCTACGCCCTTGAAAGAGTGTACGCCAAGGGCAGAGCACCCTTATCTGCACCCTAACACAGTTATGATGAAACTTGGAGAAGATGTGAATGAACATCCATGTTCTCCTGGGGCAGCCTCTGGTTCTGCTTCTGTTGCCTTATACACTGGCTAATGGAGTGGGGGGGACAACAGTATTTAGTTATCAGGAGAGCAAAAGTCCTCATCATTTGGGGTTCACAGAGCACATGGCTCTTTCTCCATACAGGCCTTCGCTTTTCATTAAGAGCAGTGATCAGATGATCGGGCTTTCCTTTACTCCCCAGGTGCACCCCGTTCTTGGAGGCTCTCTTGGATCATTTCGACATCAAACCTTTCAGCCTCAGATGATCTGCAGCCCCGCAGACATTTGCCATGGGCAGAAAATACCCGAAAGGTTGAGTGCCGACTTCCACCGTTCTTTTTTAGATTTTTTTTTTATCCTCACCCAAGGACATTTTTCCATTTTTTGTTCAGGTAGAGTGAGAGGGAGAGAGAGGGAGAGAGAAAGAGAGAGAGAAACATCGACGCAAAAGGGACACATCGAGTGGCTGCCACCTGCACGACCAACCAGGGCCGGGGACAAACTGCAACCAAGGTACGTGCCCTTAGCGGGAACTGAACCCGGGTCTCTCTGGACCGCAGGCCGACGCTCTAACCGCTGAGCCAAACCGGCCAGGGCCCACCTTTCTTTTTATAAAGACAATGCTCGGCTTCAGAGCAAATGCCTTTCAAGTCAGCAAGGGCTTGTCTGGGCTTGCTCCATTCATCTGTGGTGTTTCTCTCTTTCCACATTGGCTCTTCGGTTATCACAGAGCAGTGTGCGTGTCATCTTAATTACGCATCTGCTTAATCCATAATTTCTGATTTAAGGTCATTAGCTCCCAATTACAAGAGGGCCACCGTGTGAGCTGAGAAGAATGGAACTAAAAAGCAAGAGGGGTGGCCGTTTAAGTCCTGCAGCTAAGGGTGACTCCCAAGGCTCATTTGTCAGCCCAACCTATTGCTGGCGATGCCAGAGATTTGTGAGGGTCCCAGCTCAGGTCGTGATGGGATTCCTCTCCCTCTGGGGTAGGGAAAATAGAAGATCTTGCTGTTCAAACAAAGCTAAAATTTCTAAAGGAGAAACCATCCAGACTGTCTTTATATTGACTCACCATTGAAAAAAAAAAATACAAGAAAATGCAAGTGACTATGTTGATTAAAATTTTTTTAAATCTAGAACTATCTGTAACTGGAAAACAAAAAGAACTCGCCTTAGACAGAATGCAACTATGATAAATACACAGCTATTTAAAAAAATGTTCACCCCATGCTATTTAAAATCGTTTGGACAACCACACCTTATGGAGAGTTGCATTAGATCCCTATCATTACAACTATTTGGGGCAGTCAATACAATTATATTTCCCGTTCTTCAGACGGGAAAGAGAAGACTCAGAGAAGGTAACTGACCTGCCCGAGGTCACACAATGAGGAAGTGGGAGGGTCATATCTCAAATTGTCTGGACCGTGACTTGCCCTTGTGTAGGCCAGAGGCAATGGAAGACTTGAACAACAACCTTCAAAATCTGAGGCTATTCGTGATATTGGCCATCCACGGCCAACAAGGAGATACTCTTACCTGGGGCTGAGGATGTGGCTGCTGGTAGCTGAGTGTCGAGAGGGGGTCCTCACGGTGTCTGTGGCCACAGACAGAGTACAACTCAACCAGGACCGCAGACTGCCCTCTGGCTGGGAGCTGAGGGTGGAAACATTATCTCTGGAAGAAGAGTGCAGGCCACCGTCATCACAATGACAACCATAGTAACAACAATAACTAGACAGTCACCTGTAATGTAAGCTAGGCCTTGTGCTAAGTGCTGTACCTGCATAACCTCAATCAATTCTCACACCACCACCCCTGAGGGGTGGTCGCTGGTGATGTCCCCATTATATAGATGAGAGAATGAAATTTGGGAAGGCCAACTCGGGTCTTGGCCAAAGTCAACTAGCTAGTTAGTGATGAAGTTGGGATGCAAACCCTGGTCCCTCTGGTTCCAATACCCATGCTACTAATCACTGCTCTTTCTTGGGAAGATAAACACTCTTATATGGATGTTGAGGCATATCTAATTTTAGAGTAAATTTGGCATTAAATTTTATACCAGATGATACGTTCACAGAGTATGTTAAGTGTGAAGATCTTAACTCCTTACCCACTTTCCCCAGAATCTTTGTGGACAGAATCTTTTATTTTATGCCCCCCAAAGCAGCACAGGGAGAATCCTGTGTGGGTTTCTTATTGATGTGGGCACTCAATTATTATTTTAATTTCTGGTTGATACACTCACTCAGTATATACAGGGGTGGGCAATAGTTGGACTGATCAATAACATGTCCCCAGTGCTATATGTTATGTCTATGGCGTCAGAGCTCTCATGGGCTTTGCTGGTCATTTTCCAAGTAGGTGTGGATGTTCCCTCTGCAGACTGGACACAGAGAGCCAGGGGTTTCCTCCTGGCTTCAGCGTCAGCTGCTCCGTTCTACTCAGGGTCAACTTACATCTCTTTTCTGTCTCTGCCGCCACAGTCCACCGCAGTCTGGACACTAGAAGGAGGCACAAGAAAGAGTCTGTTATCCTTGTGCTGCCAGGGGCTAGGGAAGAACACTGTCTTTAATAATAGACAAACTTGAGTTTGAGTCCCCCACTTCCAACCTTTGCTGCTGTGTGATCTTAGGCAAGTCATTTGCCTTCTCTGAGCCACCCATGCTCCTTTAGCTAATAACTGGGGTTCTGCATCTCACCCTGAATTCTGCAGGAAGTGAGCTCTCCTCTCTGCTGGACAACCAGGCACACTTCCTTACATATGTCATTAGACTGAACATCATTCATTGAACCCAGCACAGGAAAGTCTTTAGAGCACAATATAACTAAGGAAGGCACATGCTGCTATTAGTTCATGACCACTATTCACCCCAGCCATCTCCATGAGTATGAGCTCCATGGAGGGTGTGTCTCAGTGTTTAAAGTACCCCCCCCCCTTCTGCAAGGGTTCTTTCCTCCCAGACTAGAGACCCATAACTTCAAGGTGTTCCACTGTGCTGATGTCTTCCCTTTGCTCCTCCATATCCACTCCATGCTCTCCGCCCTGCTATTGCCCAGGAGGCTGACCTGCATGGACCACATCAAGGGGGTTTCCTGCCCTGTAGCTTCTCCTTGGACGCAGCCAATGGGGAATTCAGATGACAGTTGGAAGGATGGAGAGAAGAAAAGGAGGGTGGAGTATTTATTCTCTTGGATTTCTCCCTACAGCATCTCCTTGTTCTCATTCATATTCTTTCTCTCTCTCTCTCTCTCTCTCTCTCTCTCTCTCTCTCTCTCTCTCTCTCAGCAACTGCACCTCCTCACCCCTGCGGGCATAGCAGAGGTTACTGCTCCCACCAGTACCTAGCCCCAGGGAGCTGCACCATCCCTTAGGCATCATTTTCTCGACACTCTGCCCATTATTTTTTGTACATAGTCCTTTTGTCAAGCTTCCTCATTTGGGGTGTGCCTTCCGGTTCCTGCCAGACTCTATTACAATAGCTAATCTCGATACTGGTTTCTGCCATAACAGGAAGAACCGGGGTTTCCAGACCAATATCTTCTATGACAAGTGAGCAGGCAGCAGGTAGGACGCATCACTGCACTATTAATATCTGGTACATCCTCTTTCACCACGTGGGAGAAAATGGTGGAGCATCTACAGAGGCAACCTTGTAAGAACATAAGATCAGCAGCAACCATCATCAGCCCTCCTGAGCCTGCGACTCTGAAAAAGAACCAGCCATGAGAAGAAGTGAAAAGATACAGGTATGGATGTTTGTTGAAAATAATCCTACCTTGTTTTTTAATCTTCACCCTGAGGATATTTTTCCGTCAGGGAGGAAGAGAGAGAGAACCACCGATGTGAGAGAGACACATCAATTGGCTGCCCCAACCAGGGCCGGGATCGAACTGCAACCGAGGTATGTGCCCTTGACCAGAATCGAACCTGTGATCCTTTGGTCTGCGGGCCGACGCTCTAACCACTGAGAAAACTGGCCAGGGCATAATCCTACATTTTCATAGTCTCTGTGCTCTGGTTGCATCTGCCTATATCACTGAATTTGCACAGAACCTCTGAGGTGGACATAAAGACCTGCCAGGCACTCTATTTGTCCACTGACAATAAAGTGCCACCCTGATCAAGGGTGGTGACCAGCTGGGGCCACTCACTACCTGCCATTTGGGAATGTCTCAACAAAACAGAATATATTTCAATGAAGGGGTTGGGTTAAGAAGTGCTTCAGGACACCGCATCCCTTAGGATGGCTGCAGTCCATCCTGAGCTAGAATTTTTTGTAAGTTTGCTGTAGTGTATAAACGAGGGTTCTACTTAAAGGAGGAAGACTGAGACCCACGGATCCTTTCACCACATAAAGGAAGGGTCTTTGAACTGCAAGTTCCATGAGCAGGTCCACGTGTGCCTGTTCCCTACTGTATCTCTGCTCCACTGATGATGATGACTGTGATGATGGTGGTGGTGAAGATGACAGTGGGCAAGCTGCAGCCCAGGAAGACTGGGCGACCTGTCCATGGTCCTGATCCACTTGGCAGTGCAGCCAAGGCTGGAACCCTCATCTCCGGACACGTGTGGTCAGTGGTTCTCTCTCTCACCTTGGTGCATGTGGCTTTTAAAGAATAACTGTGCCAGGCACTTGTGGGCAGGGTATTGCTGAGGAGCAATTGAATTAATTAAATGTCTTCTGTTATATTCCTTCAGGGTGAGTCTTTGCCAGACAACTCCAGGCTGAAGACACTCACTGCCTGGGAAATAACACGCGAATGAACTGGACCCACATCACAGTGACAGACCAAAGCTCGCCAGAATGACAGGCCAGTTACTTGACAGAGACAGAGACCTTGACAAGAGAAAGCGAGGAGAAGGGATGTGTTTGACAGGACAGTAGCGCTCGGTCATTAGAAGTGTGGGTGACGGAGTCAGCCCGGAAGTCAAATGGCAACGCCATCACTCACCGTGTGAGCTGGGGCCAGGTTCCTGACTTCTCGAAGCTCCAGCTCATCACTGTAAACTTGGGGTGATAATGGTTCCAACCTCAAAGAGTTGTGAGAACAATATATGCAGAACAGGTCGGTTGCATAGCCTGGCACAAAGTTCCCAGGGAAGAGAGTCTATTATCAGAACCATCATTTGTTTCCTGTGATGCCCGAGAAGACGAGTAGGGTGGAGTGCTCCCGCCCTGTGCACCCCAGGAACTGAGTGTCCAGGCCTTCCAAGCTACAAAGATGCTCAGAAAGCCGAGTGGCCTCTGGCATCATTGACACAAGTACCACCCTACACCAGAGTCCTGTGTTCAATCTGGAATGTGGCATCGGCCTCTTTAGAATAATCGAGAAATCCTTTCAGCTTTTCTCCAGTTCTAGGGCACGCTAATTACTCAAGAAGGAGAAAGCAAATCAGAAGGTAAGAGATTTGTAGGACAAGAGACAGAGGCAGCTGCCCAGCCTGCCCGACTGTGGAGCTGGGGCTTCGTAGTCTGGCCAGAGCCTGAGTCCACTCATACACAAGCGAGTGCAGAATTATGTTCTTAATGGCAGCTGCAATCTTTAGTTAGACCCAGATATTTCTACCTGTCCCACTGCCGCCTAATTTCAGCCGAGTGAAAAGGATACATGTTGGAAAATATACAACTGAACTCGACAGAGCAATAGAGGACTCTTTCTAGAACATCCATCTCAGATTGGACCAGCTGGAATGGATACACTCAGCTGACCCAGGAATCAGAGATCATCCATTGACCTCTCCACACTCCCCCCACCTCACCCCAAACCACCAGCCAAGCAGACACAGATAGAGCAGCCGCAGACGCTGGGCCAGGATAGATGGGGCTGTCTGTCAGATGACGCATCCCTCCCTCCATGACGAATGAGCGTGCTCCGGACCTGGGTAACAGCTTAAGGCATTTCTCCATTAATCTAAGAAGGTTGACGCCACCGTCTAAGTTACTGTGCAGGACTCCGGAGCAGGAGAGCACGCATTTAGATGCTGCTGCATGGCCCACCTGGCTTTCTGAGCACGTAGCTGCGTTTCCAGCCTGGAAGGCCTGTTACATTCGGATCTAATTCCCAACATGGGAAATGTGACTTTTTATAATTTGAACAAGTCTCTCAAAGAACCTCACCTCCCGATGAAGCACCACTCTCTCTCCTGGAGCGGGTTTGAATTCTAATCGAGAGCTGTGTTTGGAGGAGTGCCTCGGACCAATCCCCCAGGCTCCCATCCAAACCTCTTATCCCAGGTAACGAGACAATGATGCGGGACGTGCCCCGTGGAGCTGCCGGGATGGGGAAGGGCTTGGGCAGGCGCCGGGGCTGGAGCCGGGAGCTCTGCTCCAGACAGCGGTTCTACAGCCGGCACTGCCCATGTCTCTTGTCTATCGTTGATAACCATTCTCATTGCACTGTGACCAGAGAACACGGTTTGTACAATGTCAACTCTCCGAAATGTGCTGAGACTTCTTGGTGGGTGGTTCTCCCCCCGTCTTCCCCATCCCTACACCATTATCGAAGTCTGTGCTCCTTGTACATTTTAGGTCCCTGTCACAGGGCAGTGAGCTGGACCAGGGCCTGCTGGGGATGAAGAAACGCTTCTTAGAACCACGTGGGCTTGGGGCCGGCCTCACAGGCACGCCGCCCTTGCCCGGAGGGGCCTGTGCTGGGTGTCATGTTCTGCGGACACTGTCTGGCAACTTTGAATGAATTTGGAACAAAAAGACCCATATTTCTATTTCATGGTGGGCCCATTGATGATATAGTTGATTCTGCCTGGGGTTCTGGGGCATATCAAGGAACCGGGGGAGTCAGTGCGCTCCTATGGGCCATTTCAAGAGAGGACGAATGGTGGCGAGAGGGAGGAGAAAGTGGTGGAAGGGAGGGAGAGGGGAGGAGAGAGGAGGAGAGGGGAGGGGGGGAGGGGAGGGGAGGGGAGGGGGGAGGGGAGGGGAGGGGGGAGGGGAGGGGAGGGGAGGGGAGGGGAGGGGAGGGGAGGGGAGGGGAGGGGAGGGGAGGGGAGGGGAGGGGAGGGAAAGGGAGGAGGGCTTCTCTCTCATTTTCTTACTTGGGCATAAAGAGATGCGAGCAGTTCTACAGTCTGTCTACCTCAGAGCAGGAGGCTTTCCAGTCTGGCCAGTGCCTGGGCCCATTCATCAATAAACTAACTCAGGATCAGGCCCCGGATGGCAGCTGCAATCTTCGATTGGGCCCAGGCATTTCAACTAGTCCCACCGCAGCCTAATTTGAGCCAATCTACAAGGACACACATTGGAAACGATACAATATACACTCAACTCAGCACCAGAGGACTGGTTTGCCGGGCATGCGTCTCTGTGACCTCAGTCCCCAGGTGGGAATCTGCCCCTTGCTTCCCCTCATGCCTGCTGCCCAGCCTGTCCCACTCCCCCTGGCACGGCCCTTCTCCTCCCCTTCCCAATTTTGTCAACTTGGTAACTTCCATTGTTTATTCGAAAGGGAATCTCTTGTTATGCACGTGAAAACGGTTCCAAAGTTCTGCTCCTTGGCAAAAAACCCCAACGCTTGGCGACAGGGCCGCCGAGTCCCCGTATAATGAATGCGAAAGCGCTATCGGTTCTGCGAAGAGAGAAGCTGGCCCAGCACCAGGCGGTAACATCGGCAATAAGGGTTTGTAATTGCAGACGTTAGTTCTGTCACGACACTAATAAAGCGGGAGGAGGGGGCGGCGGACGGGACAGCCTCCGCTGTAATCACGCGCTGGGAGCAGCTGCGACATTGGAATTTGCCATTTCGCCGGCCATTTGGCAGCTGTACAAATTAGCAGGGAGCGGTGGAAATGCTCCGAGTTGCATGGAGCTGTTTTTGCAGCAACGGAAGAATGTTTAGACAGAGCCCTGTCTTTCGAGGTAAGAGCGTGAGGTCTGAGAGCCACTGGACGATGCAGGACACGAACGGCATTGTGGGAAAGCTGGGGAGGTCTCATGGCTCCACCCGGACCTGCATCAATCAGCCGTACAAAGTACATCACTTGCGTGAGCAAAACCTCCTACAGGGGGCGCTGGTATAGCTGGGGTGTGTGCTTGTGTGCATGCTCATTGCAGAAATTTTAGAAAATAGAAATATGCTCGAAGAAAACAAAAACTTAGGTCACCCGCAATGCTTTCTGTCCTGGGATTAGTGTTGGCTTGTTCCCTTCCAGTCTTTTTTCCTGACGAGCTGGGGTCAGCTCTAATACAGACGGTGGGCTCTTCCCATGGGCTAAACCGCAGTGGACTCGAAACTCTGCTGCCCTCGCTGCTGGTCTCATGCCCACAACTCCCTCCGGCAGCTGCTGGCCCCGCATTCACCCCACTAAAGGGAGTGGGACAAGCAAAGGTCTGGGGAGGAAACTGATCAGCCCTGGGTTCTAACTCAGTGTTTAATGCTAATCTGCTGTGTGACCTCGAACTTGAGGTCAGGATCCTCATGGGTAAGGCTGCACTCCATGGTCTAAACTTCGATTGCTCTGGCCGCAGCATGAGCCTCCCCCACGCCTGAGAAGGAGACCAAGAGGCACGGGGTGCTGGTGCAGGCTCCACAGGTGTGTGCAGGACTGGCCGCTGCTGCTGGGAGGGGACCCCATCTGAAAGTCAGGTCAAGGCACCCTGTTCCTTATCAGAGCAACACAAAGGGAATGTCTCTCCCCGCTGCCCGGGCCCTGCTGCAGAGGCTGGGTGGGGGCAGAGAGTCCGACGGGCAGCTGTCCTTTCCCGAGAAGCCACACAGAGCCAAGGCCACAGAGGCAGCTGGGGAGCAGGGTGCGTTGGGCCCTCCACAGGAGCTGTGTGCCCAGCCAGGACACTTCCAGCTCCTTCCAGCTGAGGAGCCCACTCGTGGCCCGTGGCAGCCTGAAACGTGAGCGGAAACGGTGAGAGCGGCCAGTCTTCCGAGGAAGGCGAGAAGCCCTGCCATTGAATCTGAGCCGTGGCGCGATCACCAGCCATCTAACCTCGCGCCCTTGAATCCGTCGTTCCTTTGTACACTCTGTTGTTCCTCTGCACAGACGTGGCTACACGCTACACGCACAGCGCTTACACGCCCAGGCGTGTAGAAGATGAGCACCTCAGTGACGTTCATCTATTAACTCACTGAACTCTCACTAATCACTAACCACCCTCGGAGGGAGGTTGTGGGTTGAATATACAAAATATCCAGTCTGCAGATCAAAAGTGGTTCAATCTCGGAAATTTGATGTGGTCTGTCCAGGAGCATCATGTCCACTTTAAAGATGAGGGAATTAGGCTCAGATTGGACATGGAACTTGCCCGAGATCACACAGTGGATCCCTTGGTAGCCACTCCCGCAGACTGTGACACTCCCCAAAGGCTTGGCAAGCTGGGCAAGGGGGCATCCTGTCCTCCCCACCTGGGCCGGTGAGATACCTCCCACCCCGAACACACTGGGGTCTCCAGCAGATCCGCCCCAGGCCCCTGAGCGGCAGCTCTGGCCACCGAAGACCACAGTGCTCCCTCCGCAGGGTGCAGCCCACCTGCTGTGCCCGCCCCGCCGGGGGCCCGCGGGTTACCTCTCTGTGTCACTGTCGCTGGACGCCACCTCTTCCAAGGCTGCCTGCAGGTCGGCGATCCTCCGGATGGACGTCTCCAAGTCCGTCTGGAGGGTCTGTCTCACTGCTGCCAGCTCCTCCACGTACTTCTCCTGCAGACAGAGAGACAGCCCAGCTGGCCTCGGACAGGAGTCCCAGCCAGCCACGGGCGCTCTGGGGACGGGACAGCCCCGGGCTCGGCCTGGTGTCCATCGAGCGCCCATTCACACAGTGGGCGCCCCTGACGGCCTCTCTCTGTGGATGGGCTTATCGAACCCCCAGAGCCAAGCTCTGAATTTGACAGAGCAAATGGATGGGCTAGGGCCTCCAGGGCATGGCCCACAGACAGGGCTCCCGCACCTAGGCCGGGGTCTGAGCCCAGGCTGTCTGTCGGCCCTGGAGACGTGCTTTGAACCTGTGCCACCGTGCGGCCACCACGGTGCACAGTGGGTACAGCACTCCTGGGACAGAGGAGCACACACACGAACCAGTGAGTCTTTCCTGAAAATGTCACAGAGGATGTCCCAGAGACCGAGTCTGTGCCCCAGGGATGGATCTGGAGCCAGAGGTTGCGGGGAGGGCAGACAAGAACGGTTCCCTCTCAACACTGTCACCTGGACTTCTCGAACGTTCCCTTCTCCAAGGCAGGAAAGGCAGCGAGGGCGAGCCCAGCGGGACCCCGCCGCAGCAGGCCAGGCCTCCGGCCTTACTGAGAGACTCCGTCCAGCACCTGTTCAGTGTCTCCGGCTCCTGGCCTCACTCACTCCTCACAAGCCTAGCAAATGGGTCACCCTTGCTGCTCTCATTTCACAGATGAGAAACTGAGGCCGGGAGTAGAGGAAGCTTAATGGCAGCGCTGGAACTGAGCGCGTGCCCGACTCTCTCCTTATGTTTATCCTTCCTTCTGACACCACCTGCATCGGATGTTGCTCCGACCCTGGAAAACCTGTGACTTCCATTTGCACGACATTGCACACCCCTGCCCGTCAGCACAATGACTGGCAACTGAGGGTGAGTGGCTGCCCCCCAGGGGACTGGACATTTTTGGTGGTCACCACTTTGGGGGTTGTTACAGCCCCCCCCCACAGAGAATGACCCCACTGAAATGTCACCAGGGCCCAGTGTGAGAAACCCAGAGTTACACCTGGAAATTAATTCTACAGGGAAGAAGTGAACAGGCAGAGCCGGGCTCTGAACTGAGGATGCTCGGAGCCGTGCTCCTGGATAACACCGAAGCTGAACGCCACCTCCTTCCCCTGGGCCCTCTGAAGGATGGTTCGGGAGATCACAGGGTGTCGCTCGGAGGCCAGAGGCAGGCATTAACGCTGGCAACAAGGACGCGCAGCCCGGATGCCGCTGTGATGCAGTGTTACGCGAACGGAACGCAACCGGGAGACAGCAGGCCCGCGGTACCCATGCAAATGACGAGAAGAACACTGGGGGAGCCGAGAATGTTCGTGGATGGGGATGAGGAGGGTTTGCGGCCAGGATTTGTCTGGTAAGCTCTTCTAATTAGGTCAAGTTTATTTTTTGACCGTTGTTTTAGGAAGATGTAATGAGCAGGGTGCGGAGAGGTGAAAATATAAGGACTTAGGGGCAGATGCACGTCATTCTCAGCTGTCCCTGGGCAGCTCACAGCCGCTCTCTGAGCCCGGGAGCATTTTCCTTTCATTTACAGATGAGGAAACAGAGGCCAGCAGGCACTCCGAGCAGCTAGGAGCCCTGCTCTGCCATCTCCCAGTCTCTCTGATCTTTCTGGGGCTCCGTGTGCACACCCCAAAACAAGTCAGTGAGGACCGGGCTGCTCTCCATTATAAGGACACTCAGTTCTCCTTGGAGATCGGCTTGTCTGTTCACCGTATTGTGAGTCTGTGCTTTTCCAACCGGGGGCGGGGGGTGCAGAGGGGGGGGGGAGGGGGAGAGAGGTGCTGAGATAGCCCGAGCCAGGCTGAGTGATGAGAGAAGGGGCGGCGGGGAGAGAGGCGGGGTGCTGTGTAAGGGCTGGGAGTTCTGAGCACTTGATTGAAAGGACCAGCTGTGAACCCCATCTCGGTGCTGACAAGGGGAGAGGGGACCCCGGGGCAGGGGGCCAGTGGACTGTCAGAGGAAATGACGACACACTGAGGGGTGCTGAGGGGTGCTGGCCCCAGACACCAGCATGCCGGCTCCTAGGGACACCTAGAGAAGCGGCTGGAAGCAAACTCCCAGCAGCGCTCAGGGCTTGTGCACAAGCTCGGCTCCGTCCCAGCGCACCAGGACCTTGTGGTCACTGGGAGTCGGCCCCCTTCTCCCAGGACAAGGCGCCATGTCTTTGTAAGACACAGAGCTGCTCTCCAGAGTCCCCGTCGGGCCACCTCGAACATGTGGTGACGTTCATTTCAGAGGTGAGAAAACAGGGCCAAAGTAGCATGACCTCACCTGTGTGGGGGGGAAAGACCTGGGTGGCAAGCAAGGCGGCGGAGAGGGTGAGCTAGCTAGGCAGGGAAGGGTGATGAGAGCAAGGAGACCATGCCCAGCTGAGGGCACGCGGGCCAAGGACGGGGTTCAGGGCGCCTGCGCTGCCTCGCACCCCCCACCATGCCCCCTGCCCTCTGAACCGCATCTCCTGCCTGCCGGGGGGCTCGACTCGGGGACTCCCCAAGGAGATGGATTTGGGAAACTTAGAGTCTGTGTAATCAGCAATCAGCAAACCTTTCCTGCTTCAACTCGAAAACCACAGAGTCTGCTGATTGCAGAGACCAGGTCACTCGGCGACATGGGGGCAGGTTCAATTTCCCCGGAGCAGGCACAACAGGGCCCATCCAGAGAGTGCTCGAGCCATGGCGGGGTGCACAGAAGAAGGGGGCACAGGGAGGCGCCCCGTCAGCCTGGGCATCAGGCTCCCTCCACCTGCCATGACACCTGACTAAGGAAGCTCAGGACGGGGTCAGGGCGTGTTTTCAAGCCAGGTGTGAGCTGGGTCTCCTCCATCCCTCTCTCGCCTTGGAGACTTGGAGCACAGAGAAGTGAGGGAGGATGTTAGAAAGGACTATTTAGATAGATCTAAACCTACTGAAAAATATACCTCATGCCCACAGTCATCTATAGTTCCAATATAGTGATATATACACGGTTACAGAAACACAACACACTAATATATACTATATATTCATATACAGATGCTTGACTTCAGATGGGGCTGCGTCCTGATAAACCCATCATAAGTTGGAAATACTGTAAGTCAAAAGTGCATTTAATACCCCTAACCCGCCGACCGGTGCGGCTTAGCCCGCCTACGTTCAGCGCGCCCAGAACACTCTGTTACGGGTAACCCCGTCATTCACCAAGGTGCAGATGTAATCGCCTTCTCTTCTCATCGGGAGCAAGAGGTATGGATGGGTGTTCCTTTTTTATGATATGATACAAAAACACAAGAGAATGATACCCGAAAACATTGGCAACACATACACTGCAGAGTGTCACGGTTCGCCCCGTGATCGCGTGGCTCACTGGGAGCTGCGGCTGCCCAGCGTCATCGTAGCCTACAGCATGCCGCCTATCTCCAGCCCAGAAAAAGATCAAAATTTGGAATTCCAAGTACAATTTCTACCGAATGCATGTTTTCATGCTACAATAAAATAAAATAAAAAATAGTAAGCTAAATCATCATAAGTCGGGATTCATTCATTCATCTAATAAACATTTATTGAACACCTACTCTGTGCCAGCGCCTACTGTCTGTATCACCTGTGATCTAGGCATAGGTGATATAGCGACAAATCCTAACTTCCACGGAGCATGTATTCTTGCAGGGACCTCATATGTCTGTATCACCGGTGTCCAGAACATAGCAGGTGCTCCATGTATGTTTTGAGATTAAATGAATGGTGTTACTGCAGGACTGTAAGTGCTGAGAGGAGGAGTAAGGTATTACACACTCACTAACGTATGTGTAACATACACCACGTGTGCAGAGATCAATGCAGTAGTATGTAGTATGTGTACTTGCCCCCTCCCAGCACCGCTCAAGGGAGTCATTGACATGTTGAACTCTCCAGTTACTCCCCCATAGCATGCCACACAGAGCTGCCCAGGTGGGGAGCAGTTCATGCCGTGATTAGCCACTGCAATTAGAATCAGCTCCTCTTGTGATGTTCAGTTAGAGGCTAACATTGGACCTCTGTCTGGCTGTTTTCTCTTCCCAGGGCAGCTCAGTCTTCAGAGGGCCCTGCAAATGCACAGGGCGCCAGCTGTCAGTTGCTGAGCCTCTGGAGGTGGCTCCTCTAACCTTTCGGGGCTCCCCCCAAAATCTCCCAAAGTTAACTTCACAAGTTTATATCATAGATCAGACGATCTCAAAACAACCCCCAAACACGATGAAAATTCATCTTGTTATTTTTTTTTTTTCTGATGCTGTAAATACAAATAGAAACTTCATGTTACAGAACCTGGTGCAAAAAAAAAAAAAAAATTACACACACACACATATATGCTATATATAAAAAATGCATGTGTATGATGTGTATGCACCTGTGTATATTGCTACACACAAATATTCCCAGTCTGACATATTTAATGCCTGTCTTGAATTAATAAATAAATGAATATATTTATTTGTTTCTCACACGTGCAAGCACTCAGCTAAATTTAAAATACCTTATCTCACGCAATCTTTTTAAGAGGCCTCAGAATCAAGTACTATATAAACATAAAAGGTAACTGGAGAATATTACAACAAAGTAATAGCGAAGTTATCTCGGTGTGGTGAGCTATCAGGTGATTTTTATTTTCCTTTTATGCTTCAGATATTCTGCAAGGAACATGAATTACTTTTACTGTCAGAAAGCTAAAAAATATAAGACTTAATTTCTCTGACGCTACAAGGAGCAGTCTGCCGGTCCACCTACCTGCTCACTAGGTGGAGTGAGCAGTCTCTCGGTAGCCTTATTATCCCCATTCTACAGATGAGCAGGCCAAGTCTCAGAGAGGGTAAGTCTTGCCCAGGGACATGTGACCAAGACACGATGATCTAGAACTGGACGCAGGTCTCTGCAATCCAGCCCACAGCTCTTTCCACCTTTGCCTCTAGTTGTCCCTGCTTCATTCAAGGACGCCTGTGTCGCCAACGTGGGGT